AAGGAACCCAGCAAGTACCAATCCCTATCTCTCCTCAGCTGCCTGGGCAAAAACAGCCAAGATGGTACTGTAGTGAGTTATTACGCCGCCGAACCGTCCCGTCCCACTCACGGGAGCGAACGAGTGAACCGCCGATTACGCCCCGAACGACCAGTCTCCGCCACCGTTTCTCACACCACGCCTATCTTCGACTTCGTGCTGGACTCTACGAGCCGGCACTTGGGAGAGAGAGCACCGCAGGGGGCTTAGCAGATACCAAGTCGGGCGCTCGTGGTACTTCGCCCCATAGTACTTTGCCTCGTGATACTTCGCGCCGTCGATATCTCGTCTCGTTATGCCAGTGGCCCTCCTGCCCACCTTGCCTCCGACGAACATAAAGTTGAGTATTCATGACATCGCCATTTGTTTTTGGGCAAATGTATATTGCCACATGCCATGCCATACTGTTTATTTAATAAAGCCAGTTAATGTGTAATTGTTTTTACATACCGAACTATTGCTTGCCATCAGTGGGGCTATTAGAGTAACAATAAGTGCACTTAAAGACAGCAGAGAAATACTGCGACAGAAAGAAAGAGGTGGCGTAACGCTACAGTACTAAACAGGCTCCATTGGAAAATGAGACCCCCTCATGAACACCTGCACAGGTTCACAAGGGGTAAGAGCACAGCCCATAGCATTTCTACACACTCCTAAGCTCAATATACACCACACCCTCTGTGGTTGTCTTCCTTGACTTGGAGAAGGCTTTTGAATTGGCAAGTTTCCTTGCCATTCACGAGACCCTAATCCATAAGGGAATCAAAGTCAGACTCTTGGCCTAGATAGCTGACTATTTTAAAGGCAGAACAGCAAATGTCAGATTTGAAGGTCATCTATCTCAACACATGCCACTTGAGAATGGAACGCCTCAGGGAGGGGATCTCAGTCCTGCTCTGTTCAGTACCTTCATGTCCAATATACTCAACATTCACCTGCCAGAAGGATGCAAGATCATCTCTTATGCAGATGATCTGGCAATCATAGCCTCTGGCAACCACTGCCTAACTAGAGCTCAGTGCTGTATGAATCTGGTGTCTGAAGAGTGTTGTAGGACGGGTCTAAAAATATCGGCGGTAAAATCAAAATCTATAGCACTGAGAACCAATGTCAAAAAACAGAAACTCACTGTTCAGGGCATGGATCTGGAGTGGGTGAAAGACTGCCTATATCTTTGGCGTATGGATAGGCCACACACTCACTTTCAAAATGGAGATCCAATACCTGCTTGACCGAACCAAGGAAAGACTGTCAGTCATGAAAGTAATGACCGGGAGACACAGTAGCGGGACACAAAGTACCAAGATCATTCTATGTGCATGCTGTCCGTCCTATTGTTGACTGCGCTTCTGTCGCCCTCATTGCTTCCAGCACAGCACTAAAAGAAAAACTGGAAACAGTACAAAATGAAGCAGTCAGAATCATTCTGGGCGCCCCAGATGGACAAAGGTCATCAAACTCCTCATGGAGACCGATTTACCGTCCCTGGACACCCGAATTGGTCTAATGGCAGCCCAGTTCCTTTCCAAGGTTTTGCAGGCACCCTGAAACTCATACTTAAGACAAAGAGTACTCAGACGCCTACAGCAAGACTATAAGCTTTTGCAGACAACTCTTGGCTCACACACACAGCCAGAGTGTTGATACGCTTCCAGCTCAAAGAACCGCTGCTTGCAAGGGCATGGACTCCCCTCACCCTGACTATAAAGAACCCCCGCCGTGGGCAAACAATTTTATCGAATTCTCAGTCCTAAGCCTGTCAAAGAGAAAAGATCAATACTCTATGCCTAGCCTAAAGACACTAGTACAAAGGGTCATTGCTCAAATAACTCCTCCAGGCAGCATAACCTACTACACGGATGGATCCGTGGATCCCATAAACCACACTGCAGGCGCCGGCTTCGAAACAAGGAATACCACAACATCCATTTGGGTCACTGGCAATGCCTCCTCGCTCCAAGCTGAAACGGTCGCGATCATGGAAGCCCTGACACACGCGTCCCTAAGGGATGGACACGTGATCATACGTACAGACTCTAGGGCAACCATTGACAGTCTACAACATAGCATGCCCCAAGACAACATCTACCTTCTGACATCTGTACTCACCATAGCCCAAAGAATCCTCGGTCACAGTAGAAGAATCATCATAAACTGGGTCCCATGCCACATAGCCATCCAAGGGAATGAGCTTGCTGACTAGCCGAAAAGGGCCGGGATATGCCCCAAACCTCCATGATCGTTAAACCAAGCCAAAGGAGACTGAGCCAAAATTCCAAAGCTACAGCATGTGCAGTTCCCCGGGGCATGCACAGAGAAAATACCACAAATTCACTCGCTGCTACGTGGTACTCAGATGCCACAGGCTATGAGCCACTGGCCCTTCCTCAAAAAAAAAAAAAAAAAAAAAAAAAAAAAAAAAAAAAAAAAAAAAAAAAAAAAAGGTACCGAAGTCATATTGCACAGATTAAGATTAGGTTACCCATGCACTTGGCAAATTATTGATGACGTGGTTGTCGGGAATGCAAGCATTGCGGCGAGCCTAACGCCACATTAATTGCAGAATTGTGAACACACGCAATTTCTAAGACAGGGACCACCCACCACAGCCGCCGGGCCGGTAAAAAAGATATGTTACATGCTTACACCTTGGCAGCTGGATCGCTTGCTTGCAATCCCAGCCACTAATATAAGCATACAGTCCAAAGGAAACACATGAGTTAACTAGAAATAGTTAACACAGGCCAGGCTACTCTAGAGTAAAGGCCCGGGCGAAGCTAGTCTTCGCAAATCTAACTGAATTGAACTGAATTGATTGAAATATGCAACATGGAGAACTCATCGGAGCTTCCATTACCACCCTACCCCGAGCTCGATGTTTCATCGTACGAAGGACTGAGTGACGATTAACCTCCTCTATTTTCTCTAGGCAACGTCCCCGGGGCCTTTCGCTTTATAGGCCTATTCACTCGGGGAACGGGGAACTGTGAAGCAGTATTGGCCAGCATCTCTTTACGAAGGAAAGGGATTCCACGACAAAGTTCAGTGGGAATGTGAAGACAACCTGTGGTGCCAGGGTTCACACCGTTAATGGGGAAATTGTGAAGTGGAAAACCTCATCCACAGACATCTTGCTGTTCCAGGGAAGGCTGAGGTTGAGGAGATACTAGCAGCCATGGAGGAACGTGCCGCCTCAGTAGCAGAGCCCATCGCGCATATTGCAAACATTCGAAGTCGGCTGGCCTCATTTAATACCAACTTAGTCGCCGTCAAGAGGATCAAATCACGTATTGCAAAATTATAAACTTATATCCTTGTAGATTTGCAGTGTCTGGAGCAAATAGGCAAAGAAATGGTGATCCCCAGTGACCAATAAAGTTACACTCACCACAAATATATTTTACTAATACCTAGAGAAAGAAGTATGATATATGATTTATATGTCATACCATCGTAATCATACATTCTGTATAACATTTGTTGTAATTCAAACACTTCTTCCTAAATCTGGTCTGCCGATAATGAACCGCAACGTTCAGACATAAATGGCAATTCGACGTGTTGTCCCTGCGACATTTTATCCACTATCGAAACGGAAGCTGTGTCGCACCGCAATGTGGCAATATTACCTCCGCGGCATAGTATCCTAGAACCGTTGCACCTTATCGCTTTGAATGAGGACATATCAAGATGTCTTTTGTTCATTGTTGATTCAGGTATTAAGATGTGAATGCACATTAATATTTTTGTTTGCAATAATTACTTTAATCAGTGGTGGAATCTCAGGTCTTGCATTGAAATTCTTTGTGAAATATAAATGATAAAGCCCTTTACCCATATATTATAGTCGCGTCTGCTTGCAGGCTTAAATAAATGATAATCATTTGTGAAATTAATTCGTTTATACATGTAATGTCTGTTTCTTTCTCCACCTTCTTTTTAACTTTTATTGTTTGGCATGAGCTACTAACCCGGGCTCATACTGGAACAGACACAGTGAGAGTTAGAGCAGTGCACCCATATTTTGTATAAAAAGTATATCCCAAATGCCAATGCGTTTCTGCGGTCATCACCAGGTCGACTTTGATCATATTATTATTCAAATATTCTTTTAGCACCTACAACACTAGGCACGGGGACAAGAAGGGGCTTTGTCATGAAAGACAATGTGGAGAAAAACGCCTTTGAAAGTTTTGCTCCGTTACTTGAAATTCAATTTTTGTGACTTTTGCATAACGGAAATATCCATTCTGCATAACGAAAACAACGAAAAAATAACTATTGTATTTTCATTGCAGTGCTTTTAAAACAATAATTGACAAAAATGCTGATTTAATAATAACTAAAAATATTTACTGTCGTTGATGTTTAAATTTCTATAGCTTTTCTACTATTTGCTGACTTAAAGATGAGA